ACCAGGACTTTTATTATTGCTGGTATTTTTATCATCATTCACTGACTGATCCTTGTTATTGACAGATCTTTTGTATGTTCTGCGAGCACGAATTATTGGTTTCTTGTCAGAACTACTATTATCAGCATTAACATCAGATTCCTTCTTGATTGATCTAACACCATAACCAGTTCATTTTTTCATCATATTCTGCTTTTGTTTTTTCCAATTCGCCTAATTTTCAAAGATTTATTATTATATATACATTTATATGTATATAAATATGAAAATTTTATCACAAACTTGTTCTTTTATTTAACATTTCTTGATATTTAATAGTTTCATTTTGTTTATTACTCAATTGAATTCTTAAATCTTTAACCTAAATCATATTATTAAGTATATAACTTGTCAAACCTATATTATATAATGTTAATAATCAACAACAACAACAATAACATTAATTAATAATATTATTAGATATATAAACCTCTTCTTCAAGTGTAAAATTTCTACTTTCCAGTTCATCAAGTTTGTTTTTTGATCAAAAAACAACAATTATAATAAACAACATGCTATATAATCATACACTTGTCCTTAATATTGATTTTGCTCGCTCCATTTTTTGTTCTAATCGGGAATGTTGTTCTTCTTGCTTCTCCATCACAAATATAAATATGTACTAATACTGATAAAAAATGAAAAAGCCGTGTCACGGTTTCTGTAGATTTTTTTAAATTGTGTCCGATCTGCAAATTTTCCCAAATTTGGGAAAAAAAGTTATACGGGAAACATAAATGCAAATATATGGTTAGGGACCCTATTGTATAATAATAATAATAATATATATATTAATATTATAAGGATTACAACTGGTGAGCCATATTTGCTTAACACAATAATGAGATACAAAGCTTTGAAAATTTAACATACAGTACATATCAAACCATATTTGTAATGTATTTTGCAGGGATCGTTTCCTAAAACATAAATTTTTGCAGCACAGTTTTCACCCAATGATATATATCCAACTGTAAAGTTTTGATCCTCCTTTACTTCTACTTAAAGATTTAAGAATTCAATTGAGTAATAAACAAAATGAAACTATTAAATATCAAGAAATGTTAAATAAAAGAACAAGTTTGTGATAAAATTTTCATATTTATATACATATAAATGTATATATAATAATAAATCTTTGAAAATTAGGCGAATTGGAAAAAACAAAAGCAGAATATGATGAAAAAATGAAAAAAACAAGAGGTGGTTAATTAATCATAACTTTGGTTGATTGATTAATTAATTAATAAATTAAATAATGAACACACAATTATAATAATCGATATATTAGGCATATTCAATGCAGCTAACAAAAGTTTAACGGATTTGAGACAAACGGTGGCAACAAAAGATGCCGAAATTGAAGAGTTAAAAGCATCTTTAGAAAAATTAAAATTAAAAGATGAGAAAACAAAAACCTCAGTTGATGAAAGTCAAAGTATTTATTTTATTTTTTCAACTGATAATATTTTAATATATACTATTATTTTTATATAATTTATTTTATTAAATTAATTAGAATCGGTGGAAAGGCTGACAACAGAAATACATAGTCAGACTGCAATGTATAATGCACAGATTGAACAATTGGTAAAATCTATCAAGCTATTTTTATTGATTGTGGATTACGGATTATAATTTAATTAAATCTTTATGAATTTTTGTAACATAGGAATCAAAATTAAGACAATCAACTCAACAAATTGCTCAAATCAAATTAGAATTTCAACAATATAAAACTAGAGCACATGCTTTGCTTGAACAAAAAAATCTCAATGAAAATTCCAGCTCAGAAAAATCAGAATTAATAATTATAAATAAAAAATTGGATTTTGATCTAAGGTACCACCATTATTTAATGATTATAAATAAATAATAACAAAACACAATAATAACATTTTATAACTTATATAGTCTCAAGGTTAATGAATTGAAAAATGTGATGGAGAGATTGCATTTATCAGAGAATAATTACAAACGCGTACTTGAATTAAATTCTAATTTGGAAAAGGAATATGAAAAGGGAAAGCAAATGGCTCTTGACAATGAAGTTTCTATTAAAAAATTACAAGAGATTGTAGAGAATCTTTCTGAAGAAAATGAAAATTTGAGAAAAGGTTTTTTTATATCATATATTTTTATAATATTTATTAAACCTATTTTTTATTTAAGTTAAATGTTTATTTATTTTAGCACTTCGAGAAAGTGAGGAAAATTATAAATCTAACATTGAAGATTTTCAAGAAAAATTCGAGCAATCAACAGAAAATGTTCAAAAAAATCTTGTTAAAAAACAAGAAGAAAGTGATGAGTTGCAAAAAAATTCAGAGGTAAAAAAGAAATTCTCAATATTAAGTGCAGAACTTAAAAGATTTGAAGTTATAACTTTTACATGTTATATTAAACATTTAGCAACTTGGTGAAGAATTACTCAGAATTCGTGCAGAATTGGAGGCACGTAATGAACAAATAGAAGAATTACAAAAACAAATTTCTAATAATAAATCATCTTCATCTCCACCACCATCAGCTATTCGTACCCATTTTAGAAAAGATAGTAGTAGAGCACCTTCACCATCATCGCCATCATCATTATCTGGTCGTACTAGTTCAACTCATAGTTAGTATATATTTTATATGAAGCTCCTTGCAAGCTGGCTCATGTGTAGCTTTAATTTTATCTATTTGGTTTAACAAAATTTACAAGCAA